CCCAATTTCATAGATGGGCATTTAAAGGACACACCCAGGGGCTGTTGGGTGGCTCAGTCGGTTAAGCGTCCAACTTCAGCTCAGGTCGTGATGTCACGGTTCATGAGTTCCAGCCCCACGTCGGGCTCTGTGCTGACAGCTCAGAGCCTGGAGCCTGCTTCAGATTCTGTGTCTCCCTCTCTCTCTGCCCCTCTTCCTTTCGTGCTCTGTCTTTCTTTCTCAAAAATAAACATTTAAAAAATAATAAATAAATAAATAAATAAATAAATAAATAAATAAATAAAGGACACGCCCAAGGTCACAGAGCTGCTAGGTTCTAGAGTGGGCCCCCTGGCTTCAGACTCCTTGTCCACATTGCTCTTTGGACTGTATACCCCACAACACAACCGGATGGGTTTGAGGGAAGGGAAGGAACTAGAAATCACGGTGGTCATCTTTAACCTGCATCTAAAATCCAGCTAAATTAACTAGGACTGTTTTACCCAGAAAAGAAAAGACTTATATTGGGATTGTAACAGATGACATTATTGACTCAAATTCTCCTCCCCTCCTTGTCTTCCTCACAGGAAAGAAGTAGAATATATTTCTCCACCCCTGAACCCTGGGACATAATGTGGCCAATGGTGTGAGATGAGGGCAATAGCGTCCTGCTTCAAAGACTAGATTCACAAGCCAAGAATGCCACTTGGTCTCTGGTCCCTGAGAAGAGCGTGCATGGGCCAGCCTGCCGGTCCCCAGGAGGAGCATGGGAGATACAGGGAGCGGAGCCGCCCCCGCTAAGATGTCTGCCAAGACCAGTTGAAGGCAGGGCCCCCAGCCAACCTGGGGCAAAGTCTCCCTAACAATTAAATGGGTGCCGGCTGTCTGGGCACACTATGGTCAGTAGCTCCATCTCTGGAAGGTTTGGTACGGGGGAGGCTCTCAGAGATGCTGTCAGGAAATGCCTACGTTGGGGCAGAAGTTGGACCATACCAGTCGTTCCAGGCTTTGGGATTTTAGGTATGAGCAAAGTTACTCTCAAGAGTTTGGAAACCAGCATGGGCTGCTACATTTTTTACTCTTCTGAGCAAAGGCAATATATAAAAATAACTACTGCTTACTTGTCACCACCAATTCATAAAAGATGATGGAACATTTGAACACTGAAACTGAGGAAAGGCTATCATCTTAGAACACGACTCAGTCCTCTCCAAGCAAAGGCGGTCGGCCACCCTCCATACATGAGCCTTTTTCTTCCATTCTGTCACAGATCAAATAGAAACTCTGTCACTAAATAGCTCCGGTCTGTGTATTAGCAACTTTCTCACATACTTTATGATAGAACTGTCAAAAAAACATGAAATCAGTTACATAAATTACGAGACCTAAATCATGGCTCTGTTTGTCCTGTTACAATATAAAAATTACGTTTTTTCCATCAGGAGAGAAAATAAAGCTAGAGATCAATTGGAGTCCCTGTGTCATGCCTTCTCTGCTGGCTGCCACCAGCACGCAGGGCCCCTGCAAAGCCCCATCTCCACAGAACTCCTGAGCTGCACCACACAGGTGCCTGAGACGCTACCGTTGTGTTTCCATGATCCCAATGGATAAATGAAAAGGAAAACAATGATTCAAGCTCTCTTAGGGCTACAGGGACACAAAACTGGGAGTGACAGGCAGGGCATCCCCCAGGACCGGCTTCGAGGACGTGTCGCTCAGTCACCTGTGAATGTTGACTCCCTTCTTTCTGGGCCATAAAGAGCCTCTCCATCCTTCTGTTGGATAAGTGGAGGCCTGGAGAAGGAAGGCGTCTACAAGCAGATGGCTCTAGCTTAACCTCACTCATCAGACCCTGAGGGGCCCCACACACCCACCAGGGCCCAGTGCACAGAAGCAATGGCTGTTCATGGGGACCAGAAAGACTGGGATCTAAACCGACACTTCACTTCCACCGTCTTCTATTCTTTCTATGGACACTTACCATGGCAGGCATCCAGGGAAAATGAATAAGGTCCTTAGTTTCACAGGCTTTTGTTAAGGGAGGAGAATACACAAAAGCAAACAACAAGATAAATATCAATTGGGTGAGCACTCTTTTTTTTTTTTTAATGTTTATTTATTTTTCTGAGAGAGAGACAGAGAGGGGGAGAGGGAGACCGAGAATCTGTGCCAACAAAGCAGAGCCCGACATGGGGCTCAAACTCACAAATAGTGAGATCATGACCTAAGCTGAAATCAAGAGTCAGACACTTAACTGACTGAGCCACCCAGGAGTCCTGAGGGAGCACTCTTAAAGAGATAAGTGTAGTAAAGTGAGAGAAATTGACAAAGGCTGCTCTAGGTAAGGATTCAGGAAAGGGCCTTTTGGGAAAAGGGGATATTTGAGATGAGAAATAAGAATGCATCATCCATGCAAAAAAAGCTAGGAAATGAGCAATACCAAATAGATTAAAAGCAAGTGCAAAGGGCCTGGGGTAGAAAATGGCTTGTCTGAAGAAGAAAAATGCCAGAGCTGTGGAAGCAAGGTGGACAAGGGGAGAATTGTGGTATAAGGCTGAGGCAGGAAGCAAGACCCATCATCTGGGGACCTGCAGGCCCCAGCATGAAGTTTGAAGTTCATTGCAAGTATAAAGGGAAGTAAGCAATGGGTATTAAGCAGGGGAGTGACAGGATCTGACTTATATTTAAAATATTCTCAGGATGCTGTGTGAATGATAAATTGTAGAGGGGTCAGAGTGAAACAGGCAGACCACTGAAGATACTCTTGCATGAACTGGATGGTGCCTCTGTGACCTTTATGACCTGCGACAGTCCCTGAAAAATGCTACAGTTCACCCCATCTGTAATGTTGTGACTGCCTATACTTAGGAGTTCACAAGCTCTTTAGGCTCTTGAAGATGGGGATGAAGGCGTACGTGGCCTTGCTCGCCCCTGCATGATGTCTGCATGATTTCACTCCAGCTGCCTTTCCTGGAGCTGGAGCCATGCCCACAGCTTGCCTGTGAGGGCCTCCCTAGTAGCCCTTGAGATCCCACGGTCTCTAGTGCCCATCATGACACTGGGGTCATCTCTACATCCGGATGGAATTGAGAACACATGGAAGCTGGCCAGGAAGCAGGTTGGCAATTCACACCGCAAGAGGGCACACAGGCCAAGGGGAGGTTGGCCAAGCTCCCAGGAAGCAGGCAGAAGTGCAACAAAGGCAGGTAAGGGTCTGATGGATGCTAACTGTGGCAGGTGAGATCAATTCTGACCAGAGGCGCCCTCAGGCAAACCTCAGCTCAGTGCTGACAAGGGAGGGAAGACTCGGGGAGCAAGGCCAGGAGACAACTCATCCAGAGAAACCTGACAGTCTGGCCAGGCTGCTGGAGAATATGAGACCACATGGAGCAGAGAGGAGATGTCTCGGTCAAGTCTATCCCGGATAAACCAGCACCCAGGAGACCAGCCTGCTGTCTGGGGACACACAAGCAAGCTCAACTCAGATCATCTGAGCCTGGCCCATTCCAGAAGAACTGCCTAGTTGATTCAGAAACTTATGAATAAATTGGGGTGCCTGGGTGGCTCATTCGGTTAAGCATCCGACTTCGGCTCAGGTCACGATCTCATGGCTTACGGGTTCCAGCCCAGCATCGGGCTCTGTGCTGACAGTTCAGAGGCTGGAGCCTGCTTCAGATTCTGTCTCCCGATCTCTCTCTGTCCCTCCACTACTCATGCACTCTCTCTCTCAAAAATAAACAAACATTTGGGGCGCCTGGGTGGCTCAGTTGGCTAAGCGTCCGACTTCGGCTCAGGTCACGATCTCACAGCCCGTGAGTTCGAGCCCCGCGTCAGGCTCTGGGCTGATGGCTCAGAGCCTGGAGCCTGCTTCTGATTCTGTGTCTCCCTCTCTCTCTGCCCCTCCCCCGTTCATGCTCTGTCTCTCTCTGTCTCAAAAATAAATAAACGTTGAAAAAAAAATTAAAAAATAAATAAATAAATAAATAAACAAACATTTAAAAAAAAGTATGAATAAATAATAAATGCTTATTTGTTTTCAACTACTGAGTTTTGGGGTGATTTGTTATGTAGCAACAGCTAACTGATACAGAAGAGTCTGATGGCCAGTAGCCACTCTTATTTCACTGTAGCAAGTCTCTGCTGAAATCACAATCCTGTTTCCCTGAGGCCTCTACAGGTTCAGATCACTGGACGGGGTCATGAGCTTGAGATGTGTTCTTGAACCTTACCAGTCTGTTGGTGACATTATGAAAATGTCCTCCCTGACCTGGACCTGTCTCCTCATCTGTAAAATGAGGAATGAGACACTTCCAGGGAGGCTTCCAGCTCTCATGTTCTATGCTTGGGTGACCCTGACCTCTTCATTCAGCCATTCTGTCATCTCAGGAACAAGTACTTGTTCAGAGCCTGCTGTGTGCCAGCCTATGGCCGGGATCTGGGATGCAGGCTTAGACAACGAGATGTGGGCCCTGCCTACCAGGAGCTCACGGTGCAGTGAGAGCTCACGGAGAGCTCACGCTTGGATGTATAGAGAAGACACCTCTGAGGAGGCCCCGATGGTCAAGGAGTCTGTGAGTAAAAGCAGTGAGCAAGATCGTGATCATCCCTCCCCAGCAGAGAGAGAGGAACGCACATTAGAAATCCCTGGTGCCTTCCGTGTCCTGGACCCCTGCTCGTACATGTCTGCCTTGGTCCCTGAGGGCCTTGATGAAGGCCACTCAGTAATTCAGCTCAGGCCCTGGGGAAATCACAACCTGTGGCTTGAACGCAGCACATTCAATGAGCAAACAGAGGACAGCCACGGGACCTCTCTCCACTCCACTCTCACCCAGGCGACGCAGGACAGCCAATCCTTAACCCTGGGAGACCGGCCAGTCTTTGTGGGGGTAGCATGAAAGTAGCAGAGTCCAAAGTCCTCCACTAGCCCTGATGACCGCAGTCCTTCAGGACCTCCTGCCAACCCCAGAGAGAGGTGGACACGTGGAAATTATCCACCCCAGGGGCCCGGAAAGCCATCCTACCATGGAACCAGGGGGCGATGGATTTGGTGTTCCTCTCAAAGCCGGCTCGGCGAGGCAGCTGCTCCTCCTTAAACCAGCGGACTATGACTTCCCTGGAGACAGGTCTCCGTGGGCGCTCCCAAGTCCTGCTGAGAAGACAGCAGGGATGTGGAAAGTCAGGGAGGGAGGGGGAGGGGACCAGAAGAGCGGGGAGAAGGAGGAGGAGGGGAGAGGAAGGGAGAGGAGGGGAGAGGAGGGGGGGCTGCTATGAGATGAATAAGCACGATGCCCACACTCACGCCTGTGGAGACAATTAAATGAGTCCAGGTGCTTAAAGGCACTTTGCAGATTATAACGTACCAACTGTTATTACTTTTCCCCAAAGAGAACTGTTGTCACTTGGTTCGAAAAAAAAGCCACACAGGTGGGAATGAAAAAGAGGACAGGAGGAGATGTCTGAGAGAAAGAAAAGGCATTTTCCCGGCCGCTCATAGGCCTCCCGCCTGTGGCCGCCGTGTGTCAGATGAGTGTCTACAAGGCTATTCTTTAAGGGCACTGTTGGTAATAACCAAAGATTTCAAACAACTCTAATGTCCACCAGTAGTTTTTGATAATTAACTTCTAGCACATCTATGGAGTAGAATACGACATAACTATAAAAAAGGAAACTAGGAGCACCTGGGTGGCTGAGTGGGTTAAGGGTCTGACTCTCGCTTCTGGCTCAGATCATGATCCCAGGGTCACGGGATCAAGCCCTACATCGGATCTGCACTGACAGAATGGAGCCTACTTGGGATTCTCTCCCTCCCTCTGTGTCCCTCCCTCATCATGCTCTCTCTCTCTCTCTCTCTCTCTCTCTCTCTCACTGAAAGGAAGGAAGGAAGGAAGGAAGGAAGGAAGAAAGAAAGAAAGAAAGAAAGAAAGAAAGAAAGAAAGAAAGAAAGAAAGAAAGAAAGAATACTAAATAGGGGCACTGGATGGCTCAGTCGGGGGAGCATGTGACTCTTCATCTCCAGGTTGTGAGTTTGAGCCCCATGTTGGGTGTAGAGATTACTTAAAAATATTTTTAAAAAAGAAAACTAAATAAAAATAAATGAATAGCTAAGAATTGATGTGAAAAGCAGAGCCATGTATACAGCATGCAGCCTTTTCTTATAAAAAAAAAAAGAGAGAGAGAGACTGGGCTAGGACTTTTTACGACTTTTCACGTCAGCAACTACATGACAGAAGTGGGCAGGCACACATAAACTAAGAACAGTGCTCCCACCCACGGGGCACGGGAAAACCAAGTAGGTGGAGGCAGGAATGGAAGTCTGTCTTTTTCCATATTTCTTTTTAAACTTCCTGGTTTGTGAATCATAAATGACAAGGGAGGGAGGGAGGAAGGAAAGGAGAAATGCAGACGTGGTCAGATCTCCCTAGATGGCGGGGAGAGGGAGAAGGGGGTTATGAATAATCCTAAATCCCAATTAAAGCAAAACTCAGACAAGCCACTGTCATTTGGGAGTGAATGGACTGTCCTGCAAGTTAATTGTGGTTCGGGGAAGCAGCAAACACTCACTGTCCACCCTCACCGGGGCAGGAGCTGCTCACCAGTGATGGACGTGCGGGGACCAACCTTGGGGCTGGTCTAAGGAGACGCTCCAGGCAACCTCTTGACCGTGGGTCTGGCGAGCATGGGCAGTCACTTAAGTGTCCTTGCCAAAGCACTCCTGAGATGACCCCCCTGCACTCAAGCACACTCGCCTGCAAACCCGGTATCAGAACCCAGGATGCACCAGCGCCACCTGCGGTTAGAAACAGCAGCCAACACTGGTTTCCAAGCTGCTGGACCATATTTAACCCATTTGAGGTCTTATATTACAAGTTCTTAACCCGGTATCTGTAGACCCTGAAGAGCTTGAAATTATATGCAGACATTTTGGGGTATGTTCATACGCACATTTTGGAAGCAAGACTGTACACAGCTTTCTTTAGATTCTCAAAGGAATCCTAGACCCAAAGTGTTAAGACTCCCAGAACTCCGGGGCTACTAGAAATCTCCGACCAGACTCCTCACTGTGCCCTCCTGCCCCATTGTGCACACTGAGACACTGAGTCCCATAGCGGGGAAATGACTAGCTCCAAATTTCACAGCAGTTGGAGCAGAGACAGGACTGGATCCTCCAGCCACACTGCATTTGCAGAGTCCCCCAGACCCACCTGACAGGTACGGCAAGGGGTGGCGGTGGCCCTGGGCCGGGAAGGTGGTGGTCAAGTCTGGCCTCCTGCTCGTGGCTCTGGCCAAGCTCTTGGAACATGGAGCTGAGGCCAGCGACGGTGCCCTTCTGGATGGCCCGGAGTGAGTGGCGCCGGTACTCGTCCCTGGCGCGCTGGGCTCTGCGACTCCTCTCCTCATCAGCAGCCTTGGACCGGCGCACTGCAAAGGGGTAGAGAGTATGTTTACCCAGACCTGCAGCCCAGGCTGTACACTGAGCAAGTCAGGACTGGGCCCAGAGCCCTGGGAGTCACCCAGAGTCCCACGATTCACCTGGATTCACCCACATGGGCTGCATGGAGGTTCAGAGCTTGGAAACGGCAGGGCAGGCCCAGCCCTGGCCAGCAGCCCGGGCTTGCCTGTCCCTGTGGAGGTAGAAACACTCGCGACACTTCAGGGTCATCTGCCTGTTCCTATGGCTCTGTTCCAGAACGAGCAAGCAAACTTTGGATGGAAATATACATCTCTCTACGTATTTCCTTCCGGGAGTACCCTGCTTAGAGCAGCTTCTCAAACCATGTGCCCACCTGCCCAGCCTCAAGGGCACCTGTCAAGGTGGGCAGCATCTCCAAATAGCACTACCATCACCCACATTGATTGTAGCTTTCTCTGTGCCAAGCCCTGGGTTCTCTGCTTTGCCTGCGATATCTCATTATAGACACTTCCCCCAACCACCCAGGGAAGGGGGCCCATCACAATTTCTACACCAGAAACCCAGCCTCCACGGCACCTGGGTGGCTCAGCCAGTGAAGCAGCCGACTTCAGCTCAGGTCGGGATCTCACGGTTCATGAGCTCAAGCCCCACGTCGGGCTCTGTGCTGACAGCTCGGAGCCTGGAGCCTGCTTAGGATTCTGTGTCTCCCTCTCTCTCTGCCCCTCCCCCGCTCATGCTAGGACAGTAACCTGCCGGGCTGGGTCAATGGCCAAGCCAGGAACCATCCTTTCTGCTACCACAGGGTGAGTTGTTAGAAACACTGGCATCCCGGTCCTGGTGCCCCTTCTCTGGTTTGCAGTGGCCTTGACAGCTGACGAGTGTGTTGGCGAGAAGATCCTCTGGGAGCTCTGTCACTCCCAGAGGCCCCTCTCTCCAGCCTTCCAGGCTTTTGTGTTCCTCCAGGCAGGGCCCTGTCTCAGCCAAGTGGCCTTGGAAAGACATCTGTGTGTTGCTGCTTCTAACACTCACAAGGGAGTCCTAGAGCTGGGAAAATGCCAAGAGAGGGAACAAAACCAGTTGGAGGCAAGGTGTGGAATTCAAGCTAATTCTTTTGTAGTCTGAATGCATCCTGTCAGGTCCCTATCTGCCTCTAACATCTAGTTCTTTCTGCAGAGAACTCTTAGGGCTGGCCGTGTCCTAATTGTGCATGACTGGTAATTGAGTGGGCCTGAGAAGGTCACCTTCCCCTCCTAGAGTAAAATCTTACCCATAATCTACTTCTATTCCAATCATTCCACGCATGTGTAGCCAACACCTACAACCTGCCAACGTCAGAGAACTGTGTTCTGTTAGTGCCTGGAGGACACAAGACAAATAAGCCCTTGTCCTGAAAGGCAGCACTGCTAAATTTGTCTCTCAACTTGTCAAAGACCCTTTCTTCAAATAAAACGTTACCCCAGGGGCGCCTGGGTGGCTCAGTCTGTTGAGCGTCCGACTTCAGCTCAGGTCACGATCTCGCGGTTTGTGAGTTCGAACCCCACGTCGGGCTCTGTGCTGACGGCTCGGAGCCTGGAGCCTGCTTCGGATTCTGTGTCTCCCCCTCTCTCTGCCCCTCCCCAGCTCGCGCTCTGTCTCTCACTGTCTATCAAAAATAAATAA